GGTTAGATATAGCTGCCCAGATAGCAAACCTTGTCTACTTTCTCAATTACTTCCCCAGACCGGGTGAGACTGGGGGCTGGACCAACCCAATCTTGTAGCAACATTTTACACTTCGAAGGTGCAAAACGCATACCGAACATGGCTACACTAGTACCCAAACTATCCAACTTACCTGGATCTTAACTGAGTAGCACAATGTCGTTAGCAGGTTGCAACCTGAGAGTAAACCGATTCCGCTTTCCTCGCAAGATAGGGATGTTTCAAGAATTAAATCTATCACGAACTTAAATAGAAACGGAGAGAAGGCAATCCTGTCGCACACCGCTTTTCGTGAAAAGGTACTGTAAGCTCGGAATCGGATTCGTCTATTAGTATAGAGCGATTGTAATGTTTAAATAAACTTCTCGGGCACACCCTGTAGAGCGAGGCAGCACCAAACCTTAAAACGGTTGACTGAGTCGAAAGCCGCTTTCAGATCGAGGGAGATAGAAATGTTGGGTCTACGAAAGGAGTGTCTGTGTTCCAGAATTTGACTAAGAGTGAAGATGTGGTCGATACAAGCTCAAACAGGTCTGGTTCTCACGCACACACCGTTCATGTGCGGCAGACAATCGACGGAGTATGACACCTGCGAGAAGTTTAGGGGCACGGATGATTAAACTAAGTCCTCTGTGGTTGTCACAGGAGCACCTGTCATCTTTCTTGTAAATCCCTATGATCACCGAATCACACCACTCCGTTGGAACATCTTACCTCTTCCACGCAGTGCCCAGGATTTTTGTTAACGTCAAAACCAAGGCTGAACCTCCATCCTCAAAAACCGATGGGGACAGCCCGTCGGGGCCGAAAGCCTTATGCCATTTGAGATAACTTATTTCCCGCGAACATTCCACTTCAGATGGAGGAGTGATGTCAACTGACAGTATTTGCGTAGTTGAAGCGAGAAGGGAAAGGTCTTGTGTCAACAGAGACCTGCTGAACTGTCTTAAAATGTTCTGTCCCACGTTCAAGATGGCGTACCTGAATTTGAATCAGTGTGCCGTCAGATACCTTAATTACCTCACTTAAGCCTGCTTTCCTTGGTCCTGTACTCCTAATTAAACGAAAAAGATCGCAACTACTACCGATGGCCGCAGCCAACTCTCNCCAACTCTCTACTCTTCCCTACCCACCACTACCCGCGATCATTCCTCAGACTCTTCATCAGCGTTTAAGAGATTGGCGCACTTTGTCGTATTTTGAATCCGAAGGAATGACGTTGCGAGCATTCAGCAGGGCAACCGAGGTCAGGGAGATCCATCGTTTTATTTGATAGTACGTCAGATTTTGCCGTTGTTTGGATC